ACGAAATCGTTTAATTGATCACAATTTAGAAAGAGAAACCTTAACTTCGGAAAAACAGTATTACTTGTGACATTAATTTATGTACATGTGCCATTGACAATTATTTACGTACCTGTAACATTTAAATTGCTATAATTAGTTTGATTATTATTCATGTACATAGCATTAAAAGTATACATTTACATCTTAAACATAACCATATAGCAACAATTACACAATATTAAAAGATTTTATTTAAGAACTACTACGAAAATAAATTTACTGCTATATTGAGTGTGACTAGAACTTAAATAAGGCAAATTTTAGTTCAATACTACAACTAGAACTAAAATAACTGTATTTTAGTCAAAAAATAGAACTAGAACTAAAATAACTGTAATTTTAGTCAAAAAACTAGAACTAGAACTACAATAAATTTAATTTTAGTCAAAAAACAAGAACTAGAACAAAATAACTGTAATTTTAGTCAAAAAACTAGAACTAGAACTACAATAACTTTAATTTTAGTCAAAAAACTAGAACTAGAACTAAAATAACTGCCTTTTCAATCAAAAACTAGAACTAGAACTAAAATAACTGTAATTTTAGTCAAAAAACTAGAACTAGAACTAAAATAAATTTCTGTACTAGAACAACACTAATACAATACCAACTAAAACTTTGACTATTATTGGTACATATCTCTTCAACTCTAGCCAAATACTCTCCCAGCTGAAATGCCTTAAGGCTTCTACGTCATCCATTAAAATTGAAGCTTGATCCAGGGAACAAATATCTTTCATTTCCTTTCCAATAACTAGTGTAAGTGAAGCTATAGACCCTACAGGGCTAAGTTCTGCAAGTAATTATTGCATTACGGTATCCACCCACACTCATGATTTGGACGGCAAGATACCGTGTAGCTACATGGGGAAACAAGAAACAAGAGGCCTTTGTGGCTTCCAGAGCTTGTTTGAGTGGCAATAAATGCCAGTAACAGTGAAGAATAGAGCCCAGAATGTCTCCTGAGAAAAAGCTTCATTGCACTTGACGCCACTTGTCCACAAAGGCTGCTATTGGCCTCCTATCCATTCATTGGTTTTGCCTGGTTTTGCCATCCAGCAGGAGAATTTCAAAATTTTTTCATTAAAGAATGCGGATAGGATACGGAAGATTACGAAACGTGTCTCATATACGGTATCTATAATTGCTTCTAGAAGTTAGCGCCCTATAGGGTCTATAGTTTTATTTTGTGTCCGATCTGATGTAGCAATTGATGATGACAGAGAATTATAACTTTTGTTGAGTATCCTTCTCACATTCAAACTTGACCATGGTGATTTGACCTGAATCCTTTTTTTGCTTGATGGAAAATCAATGTCCACCTATGATAACATGTCCAGCAATGAGTGGACACGGATTAGTATACTGAGCAATTATCTCCGTATACTACTGGTTGACTTTATACAGGGCAAGAATGGACATTTCCATTTACTAGGCTATATCTTTCTTCAGAATAAGTCTCATCAATTTGCGCACTTCAGTAGCTGTTCTCCATAAGTATACCTGTGTTCCTGCTAAATATGACAGCACTTGGAGTAACTTTGTGTGGAACATTTACAGATTAAAGATGAGGCAGTCAGTGCCGCCATTTGGTCATTCCTTTATGTATGTATAATAAATTTTTTACTTTTTGAATGGTTATATCTAAATTTCAAACAATTTTTGACAAATTGCGCACTTATTTTGTGAAAGTACATTTTTACTGCCCAATCATGCAAAAAAGATAAAGAAATTCAAAACTTTGTTCGGAACTTTTGTCTTCTAAAGGTGAAATAATTTTAGTCATCTCAGTGATAACGGGTGTAGCAACAAGAGTGAACAAGTGCTTTTCTCTTCTCATGGGAATAATAAAGTAAAACTAAGAGTGCTTAATAGCTACACAAGCAAATCATGTCTCTAGATCCTTTCAAAGTAATAACAAGAAGGCCGTTTGCTAGTGGATGAGTCTTCTTGCGCCACGCCTGCCACTTTAACAATAGAATATGAAAAACTACTATAACCAATTGCATTAAGTAGCATTCAAGAAGCTCCAAGTATCTAGTGAAGTCCCATCCATGAACCAGAAAGACGTTAGCAGGCTTTGTAGTGAAGCTTCCTACCAATCCACCATTGCTGAGCAGCCGTTGCTATGGTAATTCCAATGAATATCATTAAATTAATGCGACCGGAAGTTCCATTGCAATTGCTGGACATGAGATGCATCATGAATATAAACTACAGTATTAACAAATGGTGGCTTACAGCAACTCCAACAGAACCATCTGATCTCTTTCTCTTGCCTAAAACTGAGCTGTCTTTAGTATTTGCTGGGGGTGTTGTTGGACTGGATTCTTCATTCTCACTTGAAGCGGCAACAGCATCAGATTCAGCAGGTGGAATTAGTGATGCAGCTTCTGCTTGAGCTTCTGGTAATAGCCCACTATTCTTTACAAAGCAAAGGATGTTATTCTTCAGATCAGTAACTATTTGTAAAAGTACTGGTAAATCTATTACAGTTCCTATGCACCAGTGACAGACCCAAAGCCGCTCGTCGTGATTCACTGGCTGTGCATCACATAGGCATAGGCAGGGTGAGGCATGGAGGGGCAATACCTCACCTGACTCTGTGAGCTCAAATGTTACTTACCAATCAAGCCTCATGCAAGTTGAGGCAGTCAGACGCACTCCTTTGATTCTTCTACAGCAGTATAGGCAGAGGAAGTCAACCATCTTGAAATGATGATGTCATTGATTGTTGTTATGCATGATGATCTCATGATAGTCTAATTAGTTTTTATAATCACTAATCAGTTAACCACGTTGAGGCACGTAAGATGGCAAGCAATAGACAAGCTTCAGTGCTTTCATTGTTTCCCTCAAACCCAAAATGGCCTACTAGGCAACTGAACCAGGATCATCATATGAATATGATATTTTGTAAGTACGAGATTATCATCTTGTACTGTGCGTGAAAATATGTGTAAATGTCAATGCATGTCGGCAATAAAAGGGGTGTGGTCAAAAATGCGGCACGCTTCGCATGCCATTTTCTTTCCTTTCATCTTTGCCTCACCTCTCTTCTTAGGCTGGCTACGCCTATGGTGCATCAGAGAACTTTCTATTATAACAAACTAAGGATAGGCTATCAAAGATGCTAAAGACATGCTCAGACTTCTTCCCAACGATGAGTTTCCTTTTCTTTTTACCTGCACCTTTCTTCACATCTTTAGCGATAGCACTTCTCCGCAGTCTCAACATAGATACTATATACCCCTGGATACGAAACCCCTCTATGCACACATAAAATCCCATAAGGAAACGTCATAAACGTCACATCCGGCTATCCTCACCCATGTTTTGCAGCATTCATGGCTGCTAGGGTAAGTAAAACAATCACAGTAGCCTATTTGTTTGTTAAAGTAGCTGAATGATCCCTCAGAGGACTTTGCAAAGCCTTTATATATTGAAATAATGCTCATAAACGATAGTTTGAGTGCATATTTTAGTTCTACAGTGGATGTCATAGCCTACTTGTTATGTACATTTCACTCAAGCCACTTTTTAGCTTAACTCTGTTGAATTAGGCCAACATTTTTTATTGTACTGATAGGTTATTGTTTACTAGTTGTAGTGGGGCTATTATTTAGAGTTTGTGTTAAGTAAAAGAGCTGTTATTTTCTAAATCTTGGTTTTTCAAGCCCCACCTTTCTAGCCAATTTTTCTTTGTAATACTTGACTTAATTGGAACTTTTTCTATATGGTTTTGTAGCTTGAGAATAGGTAGTTGTAGTGGGCCTATTCTCAAAAGGAGTGTATTTTTAGTTTTGGTGCAATCGTGTTGTCAAAATCATCATTTTTAGGTGACAAGAGATGGGAAAGTCATGCATTGGTAGACTGCATATACTAAAAGAAAAGGAAAGTTTCAGCAATTATAATGCATGATTAATGTCAAGTTTTATTGTATTATTGTACATAAAATCACACTTTTATTAGCAATAATAATACTTTTTATGATTGTTTTATTTTTATTCTAAATGAAAAAACGTAATATGACGTATTTCTGGTGAAACAAGCCTCAGAACATCCGGTCGGGCCGTGTTTCATATCCAGGGGTATATAGTATCTATGGTCTCAAGCAGCTCTTGCATGGTTTCTACTTCTTATTTAAACGAGCATGCGCAGTATAAAAGGGGGGTGGTCTGCCCAAAAATGGAAGCAAATATTCAAAATGGCGATTACACATGATAAAGATCTTGATAACATAAGTTGATTTACATAGTAACAGTAAAAGGAAGAGGCTACAATTGTCTGGCCTCTTATTTCCACATGTTTCTTGTTCTTATCTTCTGACTAAATCATCACGGTTAAGTTGTTTATAGCAAGTCATAGTGAAACAGGCCGAGCTTTAGGACAATCAAGGACTCATTCAGGATGACTTTTAACATCGAGTTTGAGTCTGCCGAAGAGAAAGATGCCTTTAGTCATCATTTAGAAGATTTTCAATCCTTGATATCTAAGAACAAGCTAGATAGCTTTGGTCTGTTGACAGCCATATTTAATTTTATAGTTTTAGTTAAAGCTGCATGATGCATGACTCTTTTGAGTCATCTGCTGGTATAGGGAGTTAGTAAAACTGTCTGTACTCTTCTAAGAGTCTTTTTTAGATGTTGTGGATGCCTGTAGTGCTTGCATTCTGTGATTCTTCACTGCCCATTTTTAATTACATTCTAAAGCCACCCGCCATTTTTAATTGACTGGCCAGCCCACCCCCCTTTTATACCCGTGCTCATGCTCGGTGCTGTAGCAATCATTACGTCAGATGGAGCAATGGTTATATTCTGCACATGCTCGTTTAAGTGATGATGAATAATGACGCATGCTATAAATAAAACAAGTGGTTCCGGTTGGGCCACCAGAGGTCTGGTGGCAACAAAAATGAGTGGGCAGTGCTCATTCACCAAAGGGCCCTAGGGGGATGGGTCTGGCTATGCAAGACGTGACTACTGGAATGTGAGGTGTCCTTTGGAAAGCAGTGGGTCTACCAGATTCTATCCATGAAGGACTTTCAGAAATTCTTGTCCTGGGGATTTTAGGAAATTTTTAAAGGCTACTGGGTGGTGGAGTTAGTTAGCGGACAGGTGAGGCAGTCTTCGGACAGTGACAGAAATTGACCTTGTAGTGGATCCAATGACTTTTCTTAGGTAACTGAGTAATAAACTAAACAGCAATGATAATAAGGAGGAAATTTAAGGATTTTAAAAGACTAGATAAGTGTGTAAATGCAACTGTACTGTTTAAAATGGGGTGTGTCTATTTTAGTCCACAAAGACCAGGTTGTGCACATCCAACAAATAAAATCATGATCTTTCTTCATTCCTCTACAAGCTTTGAAGTGGTTGAGGGTCCATAGGCTTATCTCTGGGTTTCTCCTTAAAACACATGCCACCATTCTTTTTTTCAGGAATATTGTTGGAAACTGTTGGGCCTTTTGTCCAAGGCAGCGAGGCTATCCGATACCTTACTTTAATTATTTTGATAATCCACTCTACTAATTCATTCTTTTCTTGTATAAATGTTGGACCAAGCCTTGCTGAAACTTGCTTAATTTTGAAGCTGGAGTGGTCATACAAGTATTGGTAGAGCTCTTTGGTGTTGAGTATTTTCTCTAGCAGTACCAGAGAATTTTCATCACAAACTGTCTCTATAACCTTTTTCAAGTCTTCAGTCTTCCATTTCCCCCTTGTATTTGCTGTTACTGTGCAATTATTATTTCTGTCCGGTAACTGCCTCCGTCACCAAGGTGTATTTGCTCTTAAATAACTCTTACTACATTATTTATATATTATTTTGCATAATTCCATCAAATAATGTAATTAATTTCCTTTGTATTAATATATGATGTTGGTATATTCAAAACTTTCAGTCTACAGTTTCAAGCTGTTGAAGTTTTCTGTATTTTAAGACATTTAATTATTTGGACTTAGCAATCGACCACATAGGCAGATCTAGAAATCCAAGACCACCCGGGCTCATTAATAATCATGAAGGGTGTGGTCAAATTGGTTAATTATTCACCACTTAATTAACCTCCTGCTTTGCTATCAGAAGCTATTATATAGGCGGTAGCCTATATGTAGGATTGAGGTTGATTTTTCAAGATGGCGTCCGTTTTTATGATTTTCAAACACTTATATCTCTTATCTTACGTTGTACAGCCTTATAAATGGCTTAGATGAGCTCTCCTTCACTGAGCGATTCTCCTGGTACCTTTAAAGTGAACTGTAATGTAGCGGGAGCATTTCTGCAAAACAGGCCCAAATTCAAATTTCTACAAAATTCAGACTTTTTCTTCTTCTTTCATCTTTCTTCTATACACCGGATAATCTCTTAAACTAGAGAACAGCTCAAGTTGCCTTTTACATCACTCCTCTGGGCTTGGGTCAAGGACCACAAAGGTAGTTTCAAAAAGAAGCGAGGACAGAGAACACAATGGAAGACAAAATCCAGCTGTAGCCACCGCGTGGGTTTGTGGTTTGACGCCATTTTAATTTATGCGCACGTGATTAGCATGAATATAATTAACCTAACCACAGAATCATAACAGAATGTAATTTCTTGATTTAGGAAAAAAGAATGC